TTTATACTGCGAAATATTTTTTCCATTTTAAAATCCATGGCTTTTGCTACCATATCATCAAATGATAAGTCTAGAGTTTCACACAAATGAATTTTTATATCATCTCCAAAGATTCCGTTAATGAATTGTGCGCATAATTCAAAATCTGTGTTACTTTTATAATTGAGCTTATTATATATTCTTTTTAGTTTTTCAGAAAATGCTTTAATCGTTTCGTTTTCATATTGTATACGAGAAAAAAAACGTTTTCTGTGTAAATCATATTCATAATATTCAGAAAAATAAAGATGGTAATTATCTATTATCTCTTCGTATGAAATTTTAAAGAAATTAATTGATGGGGAAGCTTTTCTGACATTCATATGGACATCACCAGCCACCATATTAGTGAAAAATTCAATCATCCTATTATCTGGTACTCCGACAATATCTGCTAGATACTCAAATTTATTAAACCAAATATGAAAAGGATCTTCATTTTCTAGCTTGTAAACATTAATATTTGGATGAACTAGATGTACATAATACCATGTCAAATTTCTTTTGGATAGTTCAATGACCCTTGCTACCGCTTTATCGAAAGGTAACTTCAAAGTAAGACCTAAATGATTACTTATAAACTTATCACGTAGACCAGAAATGAATAAATCGCATAAACTATCTTCTATATCACTTTTAAAACAGCATTTGTTATATATTTTTATTAAACTATCGGCATAATTTCTTACCGTTTCCTTTTCATATTGCTTACGAATTTTTAAACGACTACTATGTAAATCAACTTCGCAGAGAGAAAAATGACGAAGGTAATAGTCTATTACCTGATCGTATAGAAGTTTAGAGAAATTGATAGCAGGGAAACTGTTCTTTACTTCCATATGAACAGCATTATAAACCATTCTATTGAACAATTCAACGATCTTATCATCTGGTACCCCGATATTATTTGCTGCATACTCAAATTTATTTAACCAACCATAAAATACACCTTCATATGATGGATAGTAAGAATTAATCATTAAAAGTGCTTGATCTACATAACGATCCATTAAATCATATTTTGAAAATTCAATGGCTTTTGCTATCTTTTCATTAAATGATGATGATCTAGGGGTTTCACGTAAAAGAAATCTAATAACATTGTCGCGGATTCCTTTAACGAATTGATCACATAATTTGTTGTGTATATTACCTACATAATGACACTTATTACATATTTTTCGTAAACTGTCAGCATATTTTTCTATAGTTTCTTTTTCATATTGATTTCGAGACCTAAATCGTTTTCTGTATAAATTTACTTCATTGGACAAATTTAAATAATGGAGGTATTGGCTTATTAATGCTTGGTATGATAATTCAGAGATGTTGTCATAAGAGCATTTCCTTTCGATTCGCTTATTGACTTTATCATTCACCATTGTAATAATTAATTCACCCATTTTATCATCTGGTACCTCGATTTTATCTGTCACGTATTCAAATTTATTTAACCACGTAAAAAACGATTCTTCTGTCTCTTTGTTGTAAATTCTCATCATCGAAAGAGCTTTATCTCGATAATAAGAAATTTCCTTAACTTCCTCTAATGAATCCTCGTTGTTCATTATTTACAAATGAGAAAACCGATTTTTTAACTTGTTATATTTAAATAGATAATCTTTTAAAAGTTCTTTGTTCTCGGACTTATTTTTCGTTATTACTACTAAATTCAATAAACTTTTAATAAAGTAATTCAACGAACTTTTCTTTTAAGAACACGGTTATGTGTTATATTTTGTATTATATTTTTTTACATATATATAAATGTTGTAATGATAATTTATAATTTAAAATAAAATTATAAAATTAACGAAAGAATAATCGTACATAAATTCAAGCAATATCGCAACGGTTTAACGTATACTGAACGACTAAGAATTTAAACTTTATTGCTTTTAGATTGGAATAGAAAAGGGAAAATATTCAACACTCTACATTTGTCCTTAGAAGAAATAATAATATATTTACTAATGAGAACAAAATAAATAGTTCATTGCACATTTTAAATTCAAACGTAAGAAAGATCTAAAATTACATTATCCTCCTAACGGTGTCATAACTTTATAAACATACAAAAATTTCTAATATTAACAACTTTAGAAACGTTTTATCAGGTGGTCCATGAAATCTGGATTTAAATTAATTTTTGACCAGGCTCACTTTGAATATTTACACAAAAGATTTAATTAAGACAAACTGATACAACGTTCTTTTATAAATATCAGGAATACATTGTGCTTTTATTTCGGACAAAATATAAATAAATTAAAGTAACATGTCTCATAATATAATAATTAAAACTTTTTGGTTTCGCCTTGTCTTTAGAAACAGTTAAAGTGAAAAATAAATGTTTATGTCTTACTTATAAAAATATATCTTTACCCATGTAAAATTAAAAACTATATTTTTAAACATTTTTTATATTATGCAAGATTACTATTTAAGATAAGAAACATAGCTTTTTTGTTTATTTCTTTTATTTTACATTCACATACGTAGTGTTTTAACAGATGTTTACTCTCTTTGACATTGTTCATGCATCAATTATACTGGTTTTGCATTCCTCCTGTGCTAGTAGAAGATTTTTTTTTAATGTGATATTATTTGATTAATTGATTATTTTAATGAATAATTAACATTTTAAATTAACGCTGATTATACGTTCGATTATTCTGTTTTATTTATTTACTGTTTGAGGCAAGCAGTTCATTTAAGACGGATTATTCACTTTTTAAATGTTTCTTCTTGCCTTTCAAATTCAATTGCAATTTTTATTGCATTACAGAAAGATAATTTATGATATTTACTTAAATAACATTTCATTTCTGTGTTCCGGAGTCCTTTAAGGAATTGTTTGGATAATCTTTTTTCAAAGCAAGTTACATAACCGCATTTGTGATATATTTCTTCTAAATTTTTAGCATATTTTTCTACCGTTTCTCGTGGAAATTGATACCGATAATTGAAACGTTTTCTATATGAAGAAATTACATTGGATTGGGAAATAACTTTACCGTACTGGTCTCTTATCTCTTTGTAAGAAATTTCAGAGAAATTGACAGCAGGGGATTGCTCCTCGACACGCATTTGGAGTTTATTATCCACCATATTCTTGAAAAATGTAACCATTTCAGATTCTTGTATCCCAAGAACATCAGCTACATACTCAAATTGATTTAACCAATCGTTAAAATCAACTCGACTTTCTGGATTGTAAATATTTATCATTGTAAGAGCTTGATCTACCATATACTTCGTTAAATCAATTTTTGAAACTTCAATGGCTTTTTTTACCATATCATTGAATGTTAAACCACGAGTAAAACATAAAAAAGATTTATTAATATTGTCCCTGATTCCTTTAATGAATTGTACGCATAGTTCTTCTTCTGGGACACTTTGATAGGTTTTACAGCATTTATTATATATATATACTAATCTATTAGCATATTCCTCTATCGATTCTTGTTCATATTGTTTACAACAAAGAAAACGTGGTCTGTGTAAATCAATTTCATTGCTAAAGAATAAACGTAGATAACTATCTATTAATTCTGAATATGACAAGTTATAGAGCTTAGAACCGAAAAATTCCTTGACACTCATCTGGAAATCAGTATCTACCATTCTATTGAAAAATTTAATCATCTTATCATGTTCTACCCCGATACTATCTGCTAGATATTCAAATTTATTTAACCAAGCATGAAAAGGAATTCCGGTTTTTGGATTGTAAGTATCAATCTCTAAATGAGCTTGATCTACAAAATACTCCATTAAATCATATTTTGAAAATTCAATGGCTTTTGCTATGGTTTTTTTAAATGATAATTTAGGAATTTTACTTAATTTATTTCTTATATCCTCATCGAAGATGCCATTAATGAATTGTGCGCATAGTTCTTCTTCTTGGTCACTTTTATAACAGCACATATTATATATTTTTCGTAATCTATCAGCATATCTCTCTATCGATTCTTCTTTGTATTGTTTACGACATTTAAAACGTCCTCTGTGTAGATAATATTCATTGGGAGAAAAAACACGAAGGTAATGGTCTATTATCTTCTTGTATGGAAGTTTAGATAAATTGATGGCAGGATAATTATTCTGGATACGTTCACGAACATTATTATTAACCATTTTTAAGAAAACTTTACCCATTTGATATTTTGGTATAATTATAAGATCTGCTGCGTATTCAAATCTATTTAACCAGCAATTAAAATCTTCTTTTTCTGAATCGTAAATTGGCATCAGTCTACTAAATTGATCTAGATACCAGATTAAGTGATTATCAATGTCGATTGAATCTTCTTTACTCATTTCTTTTTTTTTCACAAGAGAAAACCCTCTTTATGACTGTTTTTTTTTACGTAAATATATAATCAGTTGAAAGTTTTTTGATGGAATTTTTTTTTCTCTCTTACCAATAATAGTAATACACTTTTTGTAATGTAATTCGAAATAATTTTCTTTTAGTAACACGTATACGTTTTATATTTTGTACGATATTTTTGACATTTATAAAGAAGTAACCGATCTCCGTGTCGTAACGAATATTAAAAATTATTTTTAAAAACTATAAAATTAACGAGATTAAACGTGTAACTGCTTAACTAGAATCTTAACAGTTTTACGTATGCTTAACGACAATTTAATTTAAACTTTATTGTTTTTAGATAGAAATGTGTGGAAAGGGAAATTTATTCTACGTACTACATTAGTCCTTGGTAGGGGTAATAATAAAAGTGACAAGGAATACAATAAACATTTCATGTAATATAATATATTTAATTTAAATGTGGAACAAAATAAACAGTTTCTTTATCCTTCTGATGATGTATTATATAATAAACGAACTCTATGATATTGACGTAAAAATGTTTTCATAATATTCTTATAATTATTAATTACTCTCCAGTATAAATTTAATAGATATAAAATAATGGCCAGGTCTGCTTCGACTTTATACATTTAAAAGTTTTAATTAAGGCCTCCTATAAAATAATTCATAATGAGTCCCTACACGAATGTAGAGTCCTATCTCTTTATTCAGTCTCCCTACGTAATATCTGGCGAAAAAAAGAGAGTTCCGTTAATTTTGATGATACTTTCGTTTAATAAGAGAGCCTGTCACAAAGATGCAATATATTTTCAAAAATAAAATTATAAAATAATACTAAAGCAATAAAACGAGTTCAGTGTTTAACTATTAGACGTTAAATGCCTTTCTAGACCTATTCTTTTTTATGCACCGTTTATGTTTCGCTGTAAGAAAGTCTATCGTTATTCGATGATTACATTTTTGAGTCGGTTTCCCTCTCCGGCCTTTCATTCAATAATCTCAATCTCTATGTCTCACACATACTAAAGATTTATCTTACTCGTCACCACACACATACATAAAAATCATATAAATTGTATATTTTTAGTAAAAATTTTAAGTAAAAAAAAAATTATTTTCACATAAAAATTATCCCTTTTCGTCTACATATTTCATTTTTACAAAAGTATATTGTCGAGAACATATTTGTATGTCGTATATATAAATATATTTTCAATATTATATGAGTTCAAAATCCAAATATTGAACTTTTTCAAAAACGTGCAAGAATACTGCTTCAGGATAAAGAAATAGCTTCTTGGTTTACATTAAATTATAAAACACAAAAAATTACCCAGAATAACAAACCATTTATCTTATTTTATTCGTTTATTGTTGTAGTACCTGTAATTCTTTACGTGTTTCTATTCAATTTTAAACAAATTATTACACTTGAATTTTTTCACTGTAAAATGATAGTGCCATTGCTACAGATACGTCAAATGATAGGTCACGAGATTTACGTAAATAAATTCTTAATTCATCGTCCAGGAGTCCTTCACGAAATCGTTCGCATACTTGTTTATCTGAGGTATTGGCATTATTGCACTTCGAATATATTTTCTGCAAATTTTCAGCATATCTTTCTATCGTTTCTTGTTCATATTGATTTCGACACAGGAAACGATTTCTATGTAAGTCAGTTTCACCGACAGATGCAAAATGAAAAAGGTAATAATTTATTATCTGGTCGTATGAAAGTTCAGAGAAGTTGATAGTGGGGTTGACATTCTTTACATGCGTATGAACATCATTATCGACCATATAATTAAAAAATATAATAATTTCATCATCTGGTAGCATGATTGTATCCGTGACATACTCAAATTTGTTAAACCAGACATAAAAAAGTTCTCCCTTTTCCGGATGGAATGTAGGAATCCGTGTAAGACCTAGATTCAGATGGAAAATTATGTCTTTAAATTTTGTTAATTCAATGGCAAATTGTTCTATTTCATCAAATGAAAAGCTAGGAAACTTTTTTAGAATAGTTTTTATTTCTTTGTCATAGATTCCATCAAGAAATCGTTGGCATATTATTTTTTGTGGGTCATTTAAATTACTGCACTTATTATATATTTTCCTTAAATTATGAATATATTCTTTTATCGTTTCAGTTTCATATTGACTTCGACACAGGAACCGTCCTCTGTGTAAATCAGTTTCATCGTCAAAAGCAAAATATTGAAGGTAATAGTTTATTACCTCGTCGTATGAAAGTTCTGAGAAGTTGATAGAAGGGTTAGCTTCCTGGACCTCAAGATGGATATCATTATCAACCCTTTCATTAAAGATTTTAAGAATGCTCATATCTTCTCTTTTAGCAATGTGTACTATATACTCAAATTTATTTAACCAGTCAAAAAACGAACCATCATACACTGGACTGTAAGTATCAATCAATAAAAAATTTTGATTTTTATAAGTATTTCTTTCATTCAATTTTTTAAACTCAATGGCCATTGATACAATGTCAACGTACAATAAACAATTTTGTACTTTAAAGACAGTTATTATTACTCTGTCGCGGATTCCATGAAGAAATTGTTTACTTAGTTTTCCTTCTAGGTAATCGTTATAATGGCATCTAGCATATATTTTTCGTAATCTTACAGCATAATTTTGTATCGCCTCTAGTTCATATTGTTTACGACATAGAAAACGTTTTCTGTGTAAGTCAGTTTCATCGGCAAAAGCAAAATATTTAAGGTAATAGTTTATTATCTCGTCGTATGAAAGTTCAGAAAAGTTGATAGAAGGGTTGGCATTTTTGACATTCGTATGAACGTTATCATCGACCATAGTATTAAAGTATTCAACCATTCTATGATTTGATACATTGAGAACATCTGCAACATACTCAAATTTATTTAACCACACGTAAAATAGACCTTCATTTTCGGGACTGTAAGTATTGATTGTTGGATGAGTTTCACTTTCACGATTATTTAGTCCTTCAAATTCTGCTATTTCAAGGACCTTTTCTACAGTTTCATTATATGGTAAGATAGAAAGTTTTTTTATATGAGCTTTAATTTCATTGTCTCTGATTCCATTAATGAATTTGTCACATAATTTTTTTTCTCTTTCATCTCTATACTCGCACTTATTATATATTTTATGTAAACTGTTAGCATATATCTCTAACGGCTCTTGTTTATATTGATATCGCTGTACAAATCGAATTCTGTGTACATACTTTACATCCATAGTAGTAAAATAACGAAAGTATTGGTTTATTATTTCTTCGTATGAAAGTGCAGAGAAGTTGACAGAAGGGTTGTTTTGCTTGATAACTTCTTGGACATTATTATCCACCATTTTATTAAAAATTTCAACCATTTTATCGTTTGGTATCTCGATCATATCTGCTATATACTCAAATTTATTTAACCACAAACAAAACGAATATTTATTCAACTTTTTGTAAGGACGTAGCAATAGCAGAACTCGTTTTTCATAATCAGTTTCTTCATTATTTTCGGGTAATAAATCCTCGTTACTCATTATTTTTTAAATAAAAAACGCTTTATATTTCTTTTTGCACAAAAATCGATAATATTGTAAAAGTTATCTGTTCTGATTTTTCTTTGCTTTGGCAATAACCTTAATTCACTTTTCTTTTAAGAACACGTATATGATTTAAATTTTCCGTTATTTTTTTTACATGTATATATAAATAAAAGATATAAGTTTTTAATGTATATTAAAATTAATTTCAAAAACTGTAAAGTTAATGAAAATAAACGTTAAAACTTATATTACTTTAAGTAATGATTTAACAGTTCAACATATTCTTAACGACTAACTATTTAAACCTTATTGCTTTTATATAGGAGTGAAGAGGGAAAAATATTCAATACTCTACATTTGTCCTCAGTAGAAATAATAATACATTTACCAGTAATAATGTATATAACAAATTTAAATGTGTAACAGTTATTGAATCCTTTTGATGACGTTATGATTTTATATATATAGACTAGAAGCCAAAGTCAAAGCAAAAAGATTAACCATAAAAACAAGTATTCATTCCTTATGCTTTTTACATTCTTATGTATGCCTAATTTCAAATATTTTATGTCAAGTCTTTCTTCGATGAACTTTAATTTCTTTAACGGTGTATTAACAACGACATTAAACAAAAAGGAATACATTTCAGTGAGAGATGTAATTAGAATTTTAATAAAAATATTTCATAAATTTATTATTATTCAAAATATAGTTCGCTTACTTTAATTTTACAAGCAGTCAAGAGTAATTCTGGGAAAATGTCCTTAAGTCGTTTAGAATCGTATTATTATTCTGCTTATTCTGATGGCATGCCATCAAAGTAAAAGCGATACATTACATAGCAATAAATCTTTCTTTTGATAAAGAGATATTTTTCTACCAAAGGTTAGTAATTATCTTCTATTTTTGAAGCATAGGTTGTTAACTTATCTAATATTTCTTTTCAGTATAGCTAAGAATTTGTCAAGTTGATTTGTTTTATAAATCTGTAAAAAGTGTCTTTACTAGGGTAAGGAGTAGTTTTTATAAATTTGGATCGGTCATTGCTGTTATTCTATGACTAACCGTCTTTATAATAGTTGTAAAACATATTATTTATTCTATTTTCCAGGGTTACACTTTAAATACTACATGTGGTTAGAATCCTCATGTATTAATAGTCGTTTTCGATTCCATTACTGGTCTGTTACTGCACCTGGCAAATCACTGATAAGGACTTCCGGACGAGATAGTTCGTTTTTCATCGTATGTTTTGGCTTTTCCATTCGTTTTTTTATCGATAGACAATTTCTCTCTTATTTACTGCCAAATATTRTATCTTCTGCAACACAGTTTCTTCGTCTTATACTCACAGTTGCAATTACCACTTTTTCTATCTTTACCATATTGTCTTGGTCATTTTAAGGGGCTCCTTTCTTAACGTGGAAAATTCTCAGTTCTAGAAAATCAACACCAATAAGCAACTTCTTGTTTCAAAATAGCACCTGAAAGAACTCAAATTAAAATTGAGAAACGGTTTTCATCTATTGTTACTTCTGTCGTAAACACTCCCAATGCTGCATATGCTAGCGATTTGATTTTTGAATGTTTACTAGCAAACCAAGCAAAATATGCTGGATCGGTTAAAAGTATACTCATTATTATTGATCTAAGTTTTACAAATGAAATACAGTATCAAATTTTGCAGCACCTATCTTATTTACCGGATCTTTTATTAACTAGCTTTAATTTTTTTAAACATATCGAACAGTTTCTATACGCTGAATAGTATGAAAATAAAGACAGTCTGAAAAATTCCATGTCGCAATTTATTGAAATCAAAGATCAGAATTTTTCTTAGACAGGCATTTATGTATTAAAATCTCGTTGAGAAAAATGTATTAAAGCAAATAGAGTTTACTTTGATTAAATAAACAGGTTTTGAGAAACGTAATATATAGTTTTATATATTCACTTAAAAATTCGACATTTCATACGCACCAACCTAATACTGCGGACGGAGTCTGCGTCACAGYACGCGTTTCTTCGGTCTTAACATTTTTCTTCTGACATTTATTCCTAAGCCCTTTCGTAGGGCTCGTCTTGATAGGATGACCAAATGCATCACGATTATT